CCCCCCCCCAACCTCCCTAGTAATGTGCCCCTACAAGCCGGTGCCCCCCCAAACTCCAGGTGCTTCCTACGCCCCTGGTAGTGACTTTGGCTTTATACGTTAAAAATACGTTGACGAAAAGATTTAAAAATGTTGGATTTGAACACAAGCTTGCGATTGTGGCAGAACTGTGAGGAAAACTGCACTGGCAGTCAAAACTGGAAAGTTTGTATTGAAACAGTTGCCAAAATTCATTTCTTCTTGGTAACAGCAGCACTGACGAAACTCAGCAGTTTAACCGAGTAGCGACGGCGTTGGCAATGACCAAGGACTAGTTGTTACCAATTTTGACGGGATGTAAGATGAGATGTTATACAATTACGATCATAATTTGCATACAAGTTTGGCACAGGAAACGAAGTGACTGTTATATAACACTACTGATATACTGATATGTTGTCATGGATTATGGTGAACGTGTAAGATAGGAAGTATTTATATTTTGCCGACACGTGCATGTATCATCATATGTTATTTCGCCATACGACCTTTCTTTTATGTTTTATTAAAGGACAGAAAAAACTTGATCTCCTTGTAGCAGCTGCCACTGAATTGCAAATTAAAGGTACATACAAAGCACATGTAATTAAAAAATTCAGTTATTATAGCCTTTAATACATAAATAGCTAGACGGATGTATCGCTTTGACAGTTGACCTGAAATTCGAGTGCGTTCCATGTAACTGCAGATTTGTGTGCCGATGGAAACCTAACAAAAGTGCAAGACGTCTTCCTGCGTGAAAGCTAATTAGTCTTTGTAAAAAGTCGTGGCAATTAATAAGTGCTTAAAATACAAACAGCGAATAAAAAAAGAACATAAACCCAAAAAAATCTGTTTGAGACGGTTGGATAATGATGAGGGTCATTCCGTGTCGAACATCAATTACCTGCCTTGAATTCATGCCGCCTGTTATGTTTGAGTTTTGGCGGGACTGGGTGAAAAGTCGTGTTTCGCCGTGCGTAAAAAGTCTTGCGTAAAAGTCGTAATGTCTAATGAGTCGAAAAATGCCCTAAATTTGCGGTTTTCGCTAAAAAGTAGCCGGCAGCTCTCAGCCCAAATGCGGGGCTGCTGAGCAGGCTAGCTAAAAATAGCAACTTTAATTTGTGGAATAATTTCGAATTATGTTCAGTAAAAAGCATCATAAGTGATGTCCAATGCTCAACTGAATATTTAAAATGCAATGTGTGAAGCCCGGTTTTCACTGGGGACATAATATAAGCGAGAACACAAAGCATGAATGATACTCATGAGGGTTTCAAAGACAAAAAAGAAAAAAATTTCCTCACAATTTGCTTTTTTCTATCATATATAGGTAGCTTACGCTTGGAGTTGTGGTTAAGTGTCGATGCTTATTAATACCCCACTGATTTAATTTATTTGTTTTGCATTTGCAACGTCAAATACGCTTGCATGCATTGTTATTGAACTCTTATAGGTTGATAACACAATTAAACTTTATATATAGAATATAAGGCATAAGGTAATATCTCAAGTTGGTATATATACCCCTAAAAATATGCGATAGGCTCACGGCATAATTGTTCTGTGGGAAATATATTCTTCAACAAACCCTAGAATATATTTATATATGTCCATCTTCATATCTAAATAGAACTTTATTTAGATTAATAGAACTTTGCGTTCGAAATGAAGTTAACTAGATATAGGCAGAGCGCAAGAAGATGACCAGGAGCCGGAGGCAATTAATTAAAGGAAACGTTATAATTAAATGCATCATAAGACGTCGTTTTCCGACAAAAAAGACGCCCACACACCGCCAAAGATTTTCTGAGTTTACAGTCTGTTCCCACGACGGTTATATCCTGCGCATAAGCGGTAGTTTTAGCAGCTTTGACTAAAGTCATGTTTACAATAAGCAAGTGGCATATTAGCTATATTGATATATTGCGCGTCTCTTGAGAACAAATTAAGCAACGACGTATATAGTATATTAGCCTATGCTTTGCTGTATTGCGTGATTTCTCAACCGAATGAACGAACAACATATTATATTGATAGCCTATATTGCGTGATTTCTTAAGAACGAAGCAACAACATACTATATTATTATTGATATAAGGATCTTCACGTTCCCGTGTTATTTACGTGGTCTCTTGAGAACGAAGGAAAATTATGTTGATATATATATATTGCGTGAGTTCTTAAGAACGAAGCAACAACATATTGTTATATTATTGATATAGGCTAAGAAATGTCTATATTGACTTGCATATTATTTTTCCATTGGATCCAGTTGATCTCTTGAGAACGAAGCAACAACATATTATATTGATATATTGCGTGTAGGTTTCTTAATTTAAGAAAGAAAGAAAGAAAGAACAACATATTATATTGCTATATAATATATTGCGTGAGTTAAGAACGAAGCAACAACATATCATATTTATTTATTCATATAAGGATCTTCCCGTTCCCGTGTTATGTACACGCGGTCTCTAGTTGACAAAGAAGCAAAATTATGTTGATATATTGCGTGAGTCCTTAAGAACGAAGCAACAACATATTATATTTATTTATTCGGCATATAAGGATCTTCCCGTTCCCGTGTTATGTACACGTGGTTTCTAGTTGACAAAGAAGCAAAATTATGTTGATATATTGCGTGAGTTCTTAAGAACGAAGCAACAACATATTATATTTATTTATTCATGTAAGGATCTTCCCGTTCCCGTGTTATGTACGCGTGGATTCTTGAGAACGAAGCAAAACTATGTTGATATATTGCGTGAGTTTTTAAGATCGAAGCAATAACATATTGTCGGATATAAGAAATGTCTATTGACTTCCATATTATTTTCCCATTGGACCAATTGACAGGTAATTTTCCATTGGAAAGGCTATTTTGTCCATTGTATACTAATATTAACCTTCGCCCAAACCTCAACTATACATGTCTGTAGCAATAATAGTCACATTGTAATTTTAATTATGTAGATTTACACACTTTAACAAGAACGCAAAAAAATACTGAAAACAAGTATGATTGCATATTTCCACACGCTGAAGCCACTATTCGCTAACTGCTGTAGCAATTTTATGCCCGCACGCGAAATCACTTGCCCATTTGATCCATCTGACAAATATTTTTCCAACGGAAAACACGGTGTCCATTGGATCCATTGGATCCAATGGACAATTCGTTTGGCTATCTCAATGTCCTTGTATATCTACATGACGTCCATGTGCTTGTCATTACGTCATTGAAATACATGGCAATTCACCAACTGAAAACGCAAATGTCCGATGGAAATTCCACTTGTCCATTGGATCATTCCATTTGTCCATTGGATCCAATGGACAAGCAAAAGTCCAATGGAAAATTGGAGGTCCATTTGATCCATTTGACAAATGGAATGTCCAATGGCCTTTTGATTATTCCATTGGACATCTTGCATAGGTATTGGACATGTATGGATTTACTCGAAACCGGCTTGAAAATTTTGCATTTTCAGTCCTACGTCGTAATCTACTAAGTAAAATTTTAAAATTCTCAAATTATCGACTCTCAAGCCAAAATCAGAGGTGCCAACATATATATTCTTGCTCACCAATGTTTGGGCTGTAAGAAAATGCCAGCTGGCGGCTTGTAATAAAAAAAAATGGCCCACAGTGTAACTTTCGGAGAGTTTGGCGGTCGTCCTTGTGAAGAACAAAGAACACCAACTCAACTATCACATAATTTCTTTTGTAAACTCGTATATAATTATAACTATGTCAAAAAAGTTTTTCTAGTATTATTACAAAACGCCCTGTTTATAGACAGGGTGAAACATGACTGATTTGCACTGGATAAAATAAGTGGGTAATTACAACAACAAAACAGTGCAAAATGAAAGTTCAAATTATAGCCTGTTTGTTCTCTACCAGAAATTCTGCTGTTAATTAATCGGTTGTTATAAAAGTCACTGTGTTGATTAATCGTGTTCTTTTACAAAATTTGTTGCCTCGAAGCGTGCACCTGTTTGTGTTACTACTGTACCTCGAGAGATGATCCGCAAACTTTCAATTGACTTCGTATCCTTTCCATTTGACCATAACTGCTGCTTATACCTTCACTGACCTGTCCAAAAAGCTTTAACCTGATATCAAGTGCCTGCTTACATGATTCCAGAGCAGAATCATAATCTTGCATTTCGTACTGGCATTCTGCAATGTAGTAGTAGCTGTCAGCGGACGCTGGGTGTTCCTTTCCATAGAGCGCCACGCTGATATCCAGGGCTTGCTGGTACCAATGCACAGCTGAATCGTACTCGTTCAAGAAATGCTTTGTCTTTCCAATCTTGAAACAAGTTTTGGAAACGTCTAGGTGGATTTTCCCATGAAGATTTTGTCTGATATCAAGAGCTTTCTTGAACGATTGCAGTGCAGACTCGTAATCTCCGTTCTCAAATTGAGCAAATCCAATGCTGTAATAGCTCCAACCTCGTACCCAGGGCTATAGTCGCGAATTGAAGGCGGCGACATAGCCCTGGTAAACGCTGGTCACGTGACTCCAACATTACGTAATTGTTACTTTTTTCAACCGGGGGGTGAATAGGTGAAATTCGAAAACAAACAGTTTTTATCTCCAAAATTCTTCAATCTTCTTTGTGAATTTTGCACTTGAAGCTTCTCTCAAAGTACGGCTATCGATCAAATGGATCAATACTTTCTGTAGAAAAAACTCAGTGAGATTTGTTCGTACGAGAGGTTTAAAAGACACGGATATGTCGCCAAAGGCAAAGACGCTCGATCATTGCACAGGTTTATGGAATAGTACTTTGTTCAGTTTGTTGCAAATTGCGAAGCAAATGAATGCAAATTCAACTCTTGTATAATGACTAAAAGTTGGTTTGTAGAGGGAAAACTTATACAAAAGATATGAATACATTAGCTTCAAACTAGGGACAAGTTCATGGACAATGGGCATCCCTAATATATGGACATTGATATTTCACCAATATGTAAATATGACTATTAAATATATATAAAAGGATTGCTGTTGTATTACTTGTATATGTATATGTACAAGTGTTGTGCTGTGGTATTTACGTTTTTAACCCTTTAAGTGGCAATGGGCCATCCATTTAATATACACCCCCCCCCCCAATGGACTAGAATTTCTGAGGGGGTTGAAAAAGCCGTTTCTGAGGGGTTGTGTGCATCGGCATCCTTTGATCTTTGCACTTTTTCTGAGGGATAAGGCAAAAATTTTTGGGGGGGGGGGGTGTCAGCACTTTGATCTTTTTTTCTTAGGGGTTCAAATTTTATTGAACTCGTCCATAGGGGGTGTATACATTAAATGGAATGGCCCAATGCATCCAGATGTGCCCTACTTTGTTAGTTTACTCTGTCTAACACCAGACAATTTTACTTGTCAGGGGACAGTGCATGGCACCACTCAATGGGTTAACATAGTCGATGAACATGCCAAATGATCCTTGACCGTGGTAGTACATTTTTGTACTTGCTGGATGATATCGCAACCAAGCATTGTTTCAGAGGAAGAGCATTGAGATCATGCTGTGTAGCAATTGGAATAGAGCATAGAGCCTGCTCTCACATAAAGCAGGCAAGACCTTCACTCAGAAGCCAGTCCTGATTAATATTAATTCCCCACATAAACACTTGAAAACCAGACTGTCCCATCTGCCATATGCAGGACAAAAAAACATTCAGCCTGGACTTTAACTGTTAAACAACCAAATCAGCATGATAAACAGTGTGATGATTTTTGCTTAGCCCAAACCAAAGCCAGTTTTCTAGAATTAATTTGCAGAATCCTAAGAATTGGACCTCCAACTTGAAGAGCTAGCTGTGCTAACCAAGTTGCATGGGCAACCCTGAATTGAAGTGACTAGAGAAAATCTTCAAAAAATAATAGAGATCAGATTTGACTTCCACTCCTGCTATTGCTACCATTAACTAACCAGATAAATTTCATTTATCCAATCAAACAATCAGATGCAACTGCCAGATCAAGTAGTGGTAGTGGAAGTCAAATTTGAACCTTTCTATATGGATTTCAGAGAGACCAGTCATTATTTGCTGATATATTATTATAACTTGTTTAATCAAAATATAATTTTATCTATAAAGTGAGAATAATTTTAAAAAAATATTCATAACATAAAATGATTCATGCATGCTGTTGATTGAATAAACCATGAAGTGTGCATTCTGAATCTCTACAAGTTCCTTGACATTATTTTTCCAGTAGAGTGTAAAACTATAATTATATATAAATAATGTGACACAGGTTGCAGGTATTAGGTTGCATGTCCACCAGTGTGCTGAAATACCATCCAGTGACCCGGTCTTGTTCATTGTTACTTGCATCTTGCTTAATTCAACTGTTTTTGCCCCATTTCTTGTACCCATAAAGTTCTTTTCAACAATCTAGAAAACTTCAAAATCATTCAGTAAATTTAATTTTAAAATTGGGTGAAAGGTAAGGAGTCAATAATAGATGAAGAAATCATTTCTTATTGTTCATAACTTCATACATATGGCCCCCATCTCTGTCAGGTATTAGAGTAGAAATTTATTGAAGCTTGAAGTCAGAAAATAAATGCAACAAGGTTACACGCCATACTGCAGAGTTAGGCAATTTTTTTAAAGATCTCAAGGGCACAAAAGGTATAGATATAGATTGTAGTGGCAAAGGAACAAAATAATGAAATTTTGAGATTCGGGGGCAGGTTTTAATTACAATGGGGTGCTAAAACTTTTCCCTAAAAAATCCCTGACCAGCTGGAGTGCTGAAACTGATGTTTGACTATTGAAATATCCTAGCAGGTTAGGTTCATCAGATTTTAGCTTTGTCAACCTGGCCACTCTGTTGTTACAGTATTAAATGGCTCATTTAAATAATTTCAGGTCATATTACTGTAAATGTAAATACAAAGTATTTGAAGTTAATACTGCTGTAAAATGTAGTTTAATAATACTGCTGTATTAAAGTGTAAACACGTTTCTCACAGCGATAAATCAATATTGTAAATAATAATCATGTGCGAGTAGAACTTTACTGAGAGTCCGAGTATAATATAGTCTGGCCATGTGTTTCTCAAAATTCAGCTAACTATATTAACATAGTGTATAAAATATATTACAGTAAATAGCCTTCGAAATATATATGTCATAGAGCTAGACAGTGGTGTAACAAATAATGGGAATCTGCTAAATAATTTGTAACAATGAAATACTTCTAAACATTTTCAAATTCCTATATACTGTACCTTTTCATACTTGTGTGGTGAATTCCGGTCCGTTCACACTGAATAAATCACATTTTTGAGTTATTTTTACTTCTTTATTTAAAACTAAATAATATCATAAAAGTTCTCGAACACACCACAAACACGATTTTTAACGTCACTCGTTAAACGTCACTCGTTACCAGTTCTCCTG